CCACCCTGCAGCCCCTCAGACCCCACCTCCAGCCCCAAAGCCTTCTACCCTGTTCCAGCTCCTCAGATACCATCCGCCAGCCCTGGAGCCCCCCAGCCTGTCCCAGACCCCCCGGCCTCTACTCCCAGCCCTGCAGCCCCCCAGCCACCCCCCACTCACCTTCTCCCCTGCAGTGCCAGGAGCCCCATCGTGGCCAGATTCTCCCTGTGGGCAGAGGTGCCGGCTGAGGCAGCACAGATCTGGTGAGGGGTGGGGGGCACTGCCCCCGACCTTGGTGCTGGGGAGGGGAAGGGGGAGAGGGGGGAACCAGGGCAGGGACCTGGCCCTGATGTGGGGCTTTGGAAGGGGGTGAGGGGGGATGGGCTGCAGACAGACAGACAGGGTCGGATAGACAACAGACATACCTTTGGGCCTGGCTTCCCCGTGCTCCCTGGCTGGCCCCGCTCTCCAGGCAGGCCCTAGCAGGGAGGAGGGAATGAGCCACCAGTCCCTGGCTGGGCGGGGGGTGGGGTGGGGGGCAGGGTGTGACTTGGGGCAGGGCACGGGGCCCTGGTTTCTGATCGGGGCAGGTTGCCATGGAAACAGGGGTCCCCAGGGGCTGAAGGTGGTTTGCCATGGAAACGGGCCCCCAGGGGCCGATGAGTCTGGTCTTTGGGGGCTCACAGAGGATGGGATGGGGGAGCTGCTCACCGGGGATCCGCGTGGTCCTGTCTGCCCGGCCTGGCCAGCCTTGCCCTGCAGGGATCCTGGTATCAGTGTGTGGGGCATGGGGCTACTGTGTGGCCATGTATGGCCTGGAACATGCACACACCTCCACACTGAGGCACAGTGCACATGAACACACATGTGGACATACATTTGCATACATGCCTAGGAACTATGTGCATATGCATTGCACCTCCAGACATGCCCAGGCGTGTAGGCACCCAGTGAATGTGTCACATGCCATGTGCATGTGCTATTCAAATGCCTGCACTGTACATGTTCACCACATGCCATGCACATGCATGCACCACACACCACGCACAAACATGTACAGGACCCTGGACATGTACTCACCCTTTTGCCTTTCTCGCCGGCCAGCCCCACAGAGCCTTGGAAGCCGGTGGAGCCCTGTGAGGTGAGCACAGGACAAAGGTCATAGGTCAGGTTGGTGGCCAGTGCAACCACCCACATGACCACCTCCCAACATGCACTGGGGCAAAGACCCCCCTCCCTCCCTCATCCCCTACAGCTCACCTTGGGGCCCTGGCGCCCGGGGTAGCCTGGCAGGCCTGGGACACCCAGCTTGCCCTGCAGAGAGAGCGCAGCCCAGCTCAGCACGAGGGCATGTGGAGTGATGGAAGGACAGAGGGACAGACAGACTCACTCACCTTCTCTCCGGCCAGGCCAGGTGGCCCTGGCTCCCCTGCAGTGCCCATCTGCCCCTTCAGCCCCTCGGGGCCATCCTCCCCTCGCAGCCCCAGAGGCCCCTGGTCACCCTGGAATGGCAAAGATGGGGCTGGGGCTGGGCAGGAGCAGTAGGGATCACCCTTCCTGCCCTGCCTAGCTCCCTCCACACCCCTCCACAACCTCTGACACTTACCCTGTCACCCTTGGTGCCCATATCGCCCTTGAAGCCAGGGAATCCATCTTCTCCCTGCACAGAAACAGGGGTCAGCAGGGTCCCCCCCTGCCCTGCCGGTGCCCCTCATTCTTGACCCAGAGCCTCCAGACCCTGCTTACCTTTTCCCCTTTGCTGCCCTTCAGGCCTCTTGCTCCAAAGGTCCCCTGCAAAGACATGAAAGGTTCGGAACAGAACAACCTCTGGGACAGGGGCATAGGACAGGGCCCGGTAGCCCCAGGGGAGGGAATGGGACTGACCCCTGACTCATTCGGTGCAGGTGTGAGGGGCTGGTAGGGCCCCTCAAAGCCCAGGGCAGGCCCAGAGGATGTGTGGGAGTGGAGCCGAGGGGCACCAGGATACCTTGGGGCGAGATGTCTAGGGGAAGCTACAGTCTGCACCCACCTTGACTCCTCGAGGGCCGGGGTAGCCGACAGGACCTGCAGTGCCAGGTGGGCCCTGGGACGGAGACAGTGTTAGAACCCCCACATGCCACTCCCCCACCAAGGCACCCCACCCCCCAGGCACTGCCCCCAGACCCTCACCACCTCTGACCACTGCCCCAGCAGTCCCCCCCATTGCCAGACCAGGTGGAGCCGTGGCTGTGCCCATGCCCCTGCTTCACTGGGCGGCCCTACCTGGAGGCCCTTGTCCCCAGTTGGCCCCTCTTTGCCTGGGTGACCCTGGAAGAAGAAACAGTGGTGGGACTAGGGTCACAGCCCCCTGCCCCTGCTCCCTTCACCCAAGCCCTGTCCTCTCACCAGGTTCCTGATGGAGGTGATCCAAAGCAGGAGACAGTGCATGCATGGGTGTATGTGTGTAGGCATATACGAACATGGGAGTGTGCAGGAATACATGGAGAACCTGTCTGTGCTTGGGCATGTTTGCGTGTGCAGCCACACAGGGGCACACAAGTTGTGCTGGCATGGGCCTGTGCACATTGGCATGTGCATGCATGCAACCACGCATGTGCACAGGGATGCAGGGAGCTGGTGGTGCCTGTATCTGGCCCTTACAGGGTGAGACCCTCTCTGCCCTGCCCTGCCCCCATGCCCTGGTACTCACAGGGGGTCCATCGGCTCCAGCCACGCCTGGGATGCCTGGCTTGCCCAGCACACCCTGTGGGGAGACAGGATGGGTCAGTGTGCACCCAAGACCCCCCCAACCCCTCCATTGCCAGGGCAGGGGGTGCTGAGCCCCACAGGGTATGGGGGAAGGGGGAAGAGCCCAGGACAAGCCCTTCCCACTCACCTTCTCCCCTGGCAGCCCCACGGGCCCCTGGGGGCCGGGCAGGCCCTAGCAGACAAAATAGAGCAGGTCACTGGGGCAGATGGACAGGCGGATGGGCAAACAGACAGAAAGACAAATGGATAAGCAGACAGCCATACCTGGGGTCCTGGGTTCCCCTGCTGCCCAGGGGGGCCTGGCTCGCCCATGATGCCCTGGGGGTACAAAGCAGGTGCCGGTAAGTGTGGGCACATGCCTGCACCAGCCACACGCAAGCCTATGCCCTTGAACACGCACACACCTGTGCATGCAGCCCCAGACTGCCCCCACACAGCCCTCCCTATCACAGTCACCTCTGTGCCCTCCTCCCAGTGCCCTCCTTCATCCCCTGCATCTGTGGCTCCTGCCTCTCAACCCCAAGTCAGGAGCCCTCTGTCTCCTGGCTGTGGGGTTCCAGCTCCCCGCACAGTTAGTCCCCCACCCCAGCTGTGGGCTTGCACCTGGTTGCCTTTGGGCCCGGTAGCTCCATCGATGCCGCTTGGACCCTGAGGGGGGTAGGGGGAGAGAGGAGAGCATCAGAGCAGTGCGCAGGGCAGGCAGAGGGACCGACAGACAGAGGGACAGACAGGGGTCCTACCAGCGGTCCTGGGGAGCCGGGGACACCTCGCGATCCGGCCAGGCCTCTCATGCCCTGGGGCCAAAATAGACATGTTACCACTGGGGTGACATTGCCCCATCCCCACAACAAATGTGACCCACCACCACCGAGAAACTGAGGCATGGGGGGGAAGCATGAGGGGCTCATACCAACAAAGAGCAGGGCAGTCTGCTGCTAAACCCAGGCATCTAGGCTCCCAGCCCCCTGCCCCAGAGGGAGCAAGTACCCAGGCATCTGAGCTCCTACCCGCTCCCCCATCCCTTGGTACTCACGGGCTCCCCTGGCTGCCCCCGGGGCCCTGGTAGGCCATCTGTACCCTGCAGGAGACAGAGCCATGCTCAGTGAACTCTCTGTACCAGAGTCCCCCTCCTTCCCCCAACCCCAACCCAGCACTTACCTTGGGGCCCATCTCCCCAGGGGGGCCCGGTGACCCTGGCTTCCCAACTTCGCCCTGTGGGGGAGAGCCAAAAGTGAGGGGGAGCATGGGGGGGGGCATGCAAGGAAGGGGGTGTAAGCTCACACTTGCCTTGTGGCCCTTTTCACCCGGCAGCCCCGGGAGCCCATCAAAGCCCCGGTCACCCTGTGGGGACAGAAGGGACC